TATTAGTGATGTGATATTAGATTATATTTTATTTTTTTTCAAAGTTAGAAAACTTATATCATAGATTCTCAATAATACAATAATTTTTCATATTGAAATACGAGTTGTATGTATAGCTAAGACATTTAGATTTTTGCATATTGACTCATTTGGACGTGCTCTAAATGCCACCCACCCCCCCCCCCCCCCCACCCCACCCAAAATATGGAGTAGGAATTTGTTTGAACTATTACCTTTTAATTTGCCATTTTTGTGATGGTTGAAAATACCATGAGATAACTTAAAATTAAAACAAACTCTCCTTTCTCCTACAAGGCTTTTTTATTTATTTATTTTTATTTATTTTTTTGGGAACAAAATCAATTCATTAATATTAATATTATAATTGAAATTTTGATCTTATTTATGCTATTCGACCCAACTTTATTAAGCTTATTGGAACTTCAAAATAATCTTCCACCCTTAACTTTTCTAATTTTGGTACATAATTATTTGGACGATTCTAATTTCATGGAATTAGAATCAAATTTTTTTTATGGGTTTGATTGACATCTCCAATATATACCCTTATAATTGGATTATTGTATTTTTTTTTATTTTATATATTTTATGGCCTGGGTTTCATTGGCATCTCCGATACTTCATCATCAAATTTTTTTATGGGTTTGAATTTGTTAAACATCGCCCACAAATTTCTACATAAAGCCCACAATTATTTTTACTTTGACACTTTTGCCCTTTTTCTAATTTTTACTGAAAACGTAGTTCTCTCTCTCGAAAAATGTAGAGCCGGACTTGATCTCCAAGGGACGCCGGAGAGCCGAGGGACACCGAAAAGTGAGGTACGTTGCAGTTTGAAGTTATGAAATGCAGGTCGGCGTCTAGCCGGAACGCTGGCGGCGACGCCTGGACAGGACACCGCCACCATGGTAGTGGCGTCCTTGCCAGGCGCCATCGCCACGGTGGCGGCGTCCCGGCCAGACGCCACCGTCAAATTTCGTAATTTTTTTTAAAAAAATTTATTTAAAGTTTTTGTTTTTTTTTCTTTTTTTTTGTGGTTTTTAAACTTGATAAATTTGAAATTAAATAAGTTTTAATAATTTCAAAAAAACATAAAATTATGTTTTAATTTGAAATTATGTTTTAAATATGTGTTAATAAAATTATGTTTTAATTTTGTATGTGTAATTAAATATGTGTTAATAATTTCAATAAAAAAAATAAAATTATGTTTTAATTTTGTATTTGTGTGAATACTTTTATGTATAATTATGTGTTAATTTTGTATGTGTATGAATACTTGTATACATAATTATTTGTTAATTTTGTGTTAATTAGTGTAAATTTAGAAATTAAATGTATTATGCGTTAAATATAGAAATGAAATTTACAAATAAAAAATTTAGAAATTACTTATGTGTTAATTTTGTGTTAAATGTATTAATTTAATCTTTATATAATTCTATGTATTTAAAATTATTTAATAGTTGTAGGATTTTGGTAGAGACGGTGTTGATTACAGTGGGATTTTTGTACATGATGGTCCCTTCGAAGATTCTCAACAAGCGATTGATTGGGAAAAACAGGTTGCAATTAGATCTGGTTTTTGTTTAGTAATCCATCTCATAAATCTCAGCGGGATGGTAGAATGGATCGCATTTTGAGATGCGACCGTTATCGCAAAAGGGAGGAACGAAATTTCAGTACAACGATTCGGTTTGATACAACGCGGAAAGGTTGTGGGTGTAAGTTCAGTGTAAAGGTTCGACAACACCAAAGTCGTGACGGTTGGGAAGTGAAGGGATACTCTAAATGGGGGTATCACAACCATGAGATGATAGTATATGAAGTGGTTCATCGACAGTTAAGCGGCTTAAGTCCTGCTGCAAAACAAGTTGTCGAAGAAATGAGTGATGCTAAAGTGAAGCCTGATAAAATATTATCATATGTGTTAGACAAATTTCCTGAAGATTAGCTAAATCGAAGACACACATGGCAGTCACCCCAGTTGGCGACCTCTGCAGCTTTACAGTCCATAGGCAAGCAACCATCGGAAACTGCTCCTACGTGGCAATCATGCTTTTTGGCCATTGGACGACGTACTCCTTCGACGACGCAAATCTGACCACCTTACTTGGCCATGCTGGTGGAGGAGGGACAACTTGGACAAATCCAAGCTGGCGAAGACAGCGCTAGGGCATGTACGCCTCTACGATCTCACGATTCTGAATGTGTCCCGTGTAGAGGGTCCTTGGTACCCTATTACTAGGGTTCGGGCCGAAAGGCATCCGGTTCGCCTACACATTTTTCCAAATTAGTAAGATTCGTAATAAATGCATCACAATATAAAATTAGAAATAATTTATACGCTTTACCTCTAAGGGGGACATCATGTCAAGCAATAAAAACACACCAAACACACTAGAGAAGAGATTGTTAGCGAGAAATGGCTCTAAAGAGCCTAAAACCATGCAAGAATGTGATGTAATATCGGGATAAATCTATGTATAAAACGTGTATATCACCAGATCTACTAACAGATCTACCATCTCTACCCTTACGCACAACTACCCTATGCGTCTTATACTATCATCAAGCCTTTGACTGAATGGACCGTAATCATCATATGGTCCACTCTAATCGTCCACATCCTCATATATATCCTCCTCCTCCTCCTCACCATCATCATCTTCATCCTCCTCAGAATGGTGAACCCGTTCTCTACGAGCCGAGGCCCAAATACCACGGGATCTAACGTGTCTGGGCCCCAAGCTCTCCATTGATTAGTTTCTACTTCTAATAACTTCCATACTCTTCCCCGCACTAGGTGGAAAATGCGATACCTAACTCCATTAAAAAATATTAAAATATATATAAATATAAAAAAAATTAAAAAAAATAACTAAGCAAAAAAAAACAAATAAACAAAAAAAATACTAACAAATTGACATAAAAAAAAATAACAGAACAGTGAAAAAAGATATAAAAAAATACACACAAAAAAAACATACAAAATATATATAAACATAAAAAAAAATTAAAAAAAAATAACTTACCAAAAAAAATATCAAATAAACAAAAAAAATACTAACACATTAACATAAAAAAATAAATAACAAAACACAAAAAAAAAATAAAAACAAAAAAATACAAAATAAAAAGAAAAAAATTACCAAAACATACAAAATAAATATAAACATAAAAAAAATAAAAAAAAACATAAATTACAACAGAATTGGAAAAAAAATAAACAAAAAAACATACAAATAATTGAAAAGGAAATATAAACATAAAAAAATACAACAAATTTGAAAAAAAAATAAAAATAAACAAAAAAAATATACAAAAAATTGCAAAAAAAAAATAAACATCAAAAACAAAAATAGAAATTCTGAAGACAAAAAAAATGCAGAAAACTGAAAATATATATATATATATATATATATATATATACACACAAACAAAAAAAATGAAAAAAAAAATAAAAAAAAAGGGAGGTGGTGTCCCAGCCAAACGCTAGCCCCATGGCGGCGGCGGTTGGGCAAGACGCCAAGGCCACGGCGGCGACGCCCTCGCAAGACGCCACCACCATATCCTTGGCGTCCCGTCCAGCCGCCATTGCCGTGGGACTGGCGTCTGGCTTGGGCGCCGCCACCGTGGCCACGACGTCCTGGCCAGGCTCCCTGCCCTATTCAACGTTTTTTTTTAATTTTTTTTCAAAAAAAAAATTACCTTGCCACCGTGTGACCGCCTTCCCTCCGCCTCCGTCGCCGCCAATTCCTTGCCTTACCGACTCGACATTGTCGTAGTTTGAATTTTTTTTTTGAGAGAAGTGAGAGTAGAGATTAAAGAGAAGATGAGTTTTTTTTTTTTAACAAATAAGGGTAAAAGTGTCAATTCACCTACTGTTTATGGGCTTTATGTAGAGATTTGCAGGCGATGTTTAGTAGTTCACTTGATTGGCATCTCCAATATTTATCCTTACTCTTAAATAAAAATTAGGGTTTCAATGTTGGGGTAAACAACAAGCTTGAAGTTGGAATTTTCAATTTTGAGAATACATTAATAAAAGTTAATTCTCTTTTTGTTATGATTTGATCTTCCCATTTAGTCAAACTTTAAAATTATTGACCACATTTTGTACCTTATACACATGCAGTATGGTGAAACTTTTTTTCAATTTAATAATGAAACATATTTACAAAATATAGTTTCATAAGGATCAAGTTTTTAATGTTTTTAAAAGTAGGTTATCAAATACATTAATGGTCAAAGTGGGTAATCACTAGGCGAAAAACATAAATAGACACCGGTTCAAACCACCCTATGGACACCGGTTTTGAACCGTTGTGTATTTGAGGGATGCCAAATCTTTGGCACCGGTTCAAAACCGTTTAAAGATTTGGCACCGGTTAACCGGTGCCAATTACCCATGCGCGCTTTTTTTTTTTTTTTGTTTATTTCAATACAATAGGCACCGGTTTTGACTTAGAACCGGTGCCAAAAGTCCCCAAAAAAATTTTAAAAAAAAAACTTTTAGCACCGGTTCTTTTCCAAAACCGGTAACTAAAATGCCCAAAAAAAAAATTTTTTTTTTTTTTTTGCATTTTTTCACTTAAATTGTACCAAATACTTATATATAATCATAATATACATAAAACACATATATTTTCTTCAATAACTTGTAATATTACACTTTAAAAAACTAAAAACAAAAAAAAAAAAAAAAAAAAAAAAAAAAAAACTTGAGATTTCAGTTGAATGTTGAACACATACGGCAACACAGCAGCACTACAGCAGGTGGCAGCAACCCCCAGCAAAACAGGCCAACAGGTGGCAACAAACCAATCTGCAGAAAACATTAGGCACCAGTAGCAACTACACCAAAAGAAAAAAAACAACACCCCAGCAACAGGCAGCCCAACAACAGCTGCAGCAGCTTCAAAAGCCGAGCACTAAACCCCATGCAGGCCACAAGCACAGCAGCACCCTGAAGCCAAAAACAAGGATGCACTTATTATTATTTCAGTAGTCCAAGCAAACCAAACCTGACATGCAATTATATAAGAAGGGATTAAAGATCAACACTATTCATGAAAAGCAAAATGTTAAACTTTAGCCCGGCAGATTTCACAGCAGTAGGAATGGCAAAAGCTATGCAATATGCATTATTATTTCAGTAGTCCAAGCAAACCAAACCTGACATGCAATTATATAAGAAGGGATTAAAGATCAACACTATTCATGAAAAGAAAAATGTTATCACACTATTAATAAGAACTAAAAAATGGGCAACACTAATTCCAACTTACTAATGAAACAATAAAGAAAAATAAACATCAGAGTTCTTTTACGAGGACTAAACAATCGTATCATCACCTATAACAAAGCACCATCAGAAATAGTAATTAATTACTGCTTACACAATGTATACATCAATTAATCTACAAGCATACTTGCTAAAGGTCTGATTAAGAAACAAGCGAAACCTCAAAGACCAAAGTTAACATGAAATATATCTTGTAGTTGAGCCAATACATACAAAGCAGGGGTATGAGAAAGAATATCTTACTCGAGTAAATTCAGCTGTCTCAATATAGCAGAGTCAGCATTTTGATTCTGAAAAATAGATCATAAAAAATTCAATAAGACCCTGTCATGAAGAGGTGTAGTTGTAATGGAGCATGTGAAATTCGCTACTGTGTAATTGAAGAGTTTGCTTTTCATGAAATTAAAGCAAATAATTCATGAATCCATCAGGGTAAACTATCATGGAAATCAAATCAAAATTCAATATAACCCCAATTGATTCAATCAAATAATTTATTTTTCTGAGGATGGTAAACTATTCACATGCAAATCAAATCAAAATTCAACAGAACCCCAATTGATTCAATCAAAATTCGAAAAAGCACATATGTTTAGGGTTATTTGATTCAATTATCAAATTATGCCCGAAAAATAACATATTTTAAGGGATATTTGATTCAATTACAAATTATGGTCGAAAATTCAAAGGGAAATTTGATTCAAACATCAAAAATAGTTGAGATTTCGAATCCTAAACTTACCGCATTGATAATTAAAATGAATCAAATTCAAACAAGTTACCTCAGAAGCTGCCTCTTCAATGGGGGATACACGGATTAGAAGGCGCCGTCTTGCTTTGTTTCTGTCAAGCAAGAAGGGCAATTAAATATCATCGAAGGAATTACTGAATTAGTACAAAGCTGGTTCGACATAATATGTGGTGTTAAATGCTTACTCGTATACTCTGGTTTGTTCTGTAAAGGATCATGAATTGGACGAGGGACCCATGAAGCAACCTGCCACATAGCTCAAGTAAAGTTATCAATCAAACACAGGAAAGACCTTATGAATTTAAACTTGCATTATTACATACATTGAAGAATGGATGCTGCAGCGCCTGCTCTGCTGTTGGCCTCTTAAGTGGATCCCAAGAACACAGTTGCTGAGAATCAAGAAAAAGTGATATCTATACTATCATTCAACGCATAGTCACGGAAATAACTAGAAAGAATGAACATGGTCATAAATACAAACATTTAACGGGCATAAATTTTCTACACAAGGAATACATACGCCGATAAGATCAACAGCTTCCCAGCTAGCATTTGGGATGATGTCCGACAGATTCACAGGCAAAATCTAAAGATTTAAGGAAAAAACCATGATTTAGAAGATACAGCAAGTCAGCAATAGCACATAATAGGTAGATAACTAGAATATTTCTAACCTGAGAATGACAAATATTGACCAGCTGTGCCTCTTAAATTAGCTATGCATATTAGCTGAGAACTGGATTTAAGTGCGTTATTTTACTAGAAAGAATGAACATGGTCATAAATACAAACATTTAACGGGCATAAATTTTCTACACAAGGAATACATACGCCGATAAGATCAACAGCTTCCCAGCTAGCATTTGGGATGATGTCCGACAGATTCACAGGCAAAATCTAAAGATTTAAGGAAAAAACCATGATTTAGAAGATACAGCAAGTCAGCAATAGCACATAATAGGTAGATAACTAGAATATTTCTAACCTGAGAATGACAAATATTGACCAGCTGTGCGTGATTATTTGCATCCGGAAACACAGACCAATTAGGAGCACCAAGTACACTGCATATTTTGTACAGCTGATCTATTTCACTGCTCACAGATACCATATCAGCATACTATCACCAGATACAGAAATAGATCATAACAGTAAAATAACGCACTTAAATCCAGTTCTCAGCTAATATGCATAGCTAATTTAAGAGGCACCCACAGTAAGCATAGCTAATTTATGGAGTTTTTAGGTTAAAAACCAAAGTTAAGTCAGTATCTGAATATTACATATGTTACCAAGATTGCAAATAACATGATGCTTAGAAACTTACCATATATTCAAATATAAAAAGCAGCTCATTATTTTCTCGTACTTCTTTCAGCTTTATGATGTTGGGATGACTCATTCTACGGAGGGACTGCAAAAGAAGTAGATAGCTTGTCAGGGCACTATCACAGCATGAAAGTAAATAGTGCTACAAACATAGCCTGTAGTATTCAATGTTTCACATTAGCCATGGTAAACGTAAAAATACCTTCACTTCCCTCAAATTTACACATTCTTCCCAAAAATAGAACTTCCTCTTCATTTTCTTGACAGCAACCTCTAAATAAAAGGAACAGTCCATCGATCAATCTGACAAACCAGGTCTAACAACAAATTCAAACCTCAGCCATCAATATATGATATAATACTATCAGAAAATCAAAAAAGAAGCAAATAAATAAGAAGCAAGTATAAAAGATCCACACAAATCACAACTAAACAAAAGAGAGAAATAACAGCCTTTTCTAATTTGAAAAAGGGTTCACTGTGGTCCATTTAGGTTGAGAAAAAGCAGGTCACAGTAAAGGGTTTCCCATAAAAAAATTGAGTTATTTAGGCTTTAAGCAGCAAAATCTTCCAGAAGTGCTTGTATGCCAGAAAAACAAGTGAAAGAGATATGTGTGCCAGAAAAAGAACAAAAGGAGCTTAAAGTCCTAAATTTGAAAGATGAACCTATCGACGACTCACTGTCAAAGCAAGAACTAGTAGAAATAGTCCAGACCACTGGTGATTCAACAATGAGAGAGCCTGAAGACTTGTCAGTGGAGTTAGAGGCTACTACTTCTACAGCAAAGACCGAGACAAGCACAGAACCAACGAATCATTCTGAGCCTTCCTCACAAACAATAAAATATAAAACCAAAGTGCAGGATTTAAAATCCACTGAGTTCCATGAGCTGACAAAAAGTTCTCAGGATGCACCAGAGCCCAAAGGTGAGGAGCTAGCTAAATCAGTAATGCCTAAGTAAAAAATGAGGCTAATAATAGGCAGAAGTAATGCCAGTATGGCCATGTCAATTTAATGAAGAAAAAAACTGCTCTAATTTCTCTTTAGTCACATATTAGGCAAGAGATGAGGATTAACGCCCATGCTAAAATAATTCAATTGCTCGAGGATATTAACAACAACAATGATTTAAATCAGAAATAATAACATTATATTTTAAGAATTTTCATCCTCAAGTGCTATCATGTCCTACAGCCACTAATAATAGACATATGGTTGACAAGAATAGTGAAATCTATTCTACAAACATTTTCATGCACAGTATTTATTAAGACAAAGATAATATAATAGATATGAAGCAGTTCACTATGATGATCCCCCCTTCTGATAATCGATGCATCATAGTATAAAAACTTGAGGATCAGAATTCAAACTAACAATTCAAACAAAAAAAGCGGTACAAAAACATACCAGGGTGCAAAGAACTCTAGAGCCCAAACATCTTTGTTGTTCAGGAATTTCAACACTAAATCATCAAAGTTACGTGAGTTCGGTTCAACTGATGCACTGGGCTGAGACAACTTTTCACTTGATCCTCCTGCTTTTCCACTTAAATGATCCTTCATAAGTGCTTTTACCTGCACACAACTCACACATCTCAACATTTGTGTGTTCTCTTTCCAAAAATAATTCAGACTATGCTGGCCAAATATGCATCAACCACTTCAATTCAATCCAAGTACAACAACAATACCAAGACCAATTCAAACAACAACAATCCAACAACACCTCAAAACCAATTCGACCAAGAAAACAACAGCCCAACACCAATTCGAATAACAACAAGTAAACAACATCCCCACCCGTACACCAATTCAAACAATAAGTAACCAACATCCGAACACCAATTCTAACAACAACAAGTAAACAATACCCCAACAATAACAACTCGAACATCAACTCCCAAAACTGATTTCATCGAATTACCACTAAAAAACTGATTTCATCCAATCTCAATTACATAAAATTACAAATAAATAAAATTTAAATTCAAACTAAAAATTAAATTGCTTACTCATTTGATTTGAATTCAAAAATCCCTAAATCCAACATATTAACTTTGATAATACAACAATTCCCCACCCAGCCCAACAACCACTCCCCAGCCCAGCCCCGACAGCCACCCCCCCTGCACCACCACCGAAACCACCCTCCTTCTAGAGCCACATGAGCGCAATAGACCCCCGCCCCAGCCCCACCAACGAAACCGCCCAAAACTTGAATTCCCCAACCCGAAACCACCCTAAACTCCCATCCCTTTCCCCACCCGAAACCCCCACCCTTTTCCCTGATCCGAAAGCGCCATAGACTCAAAACCCCTACCCCTGAAACCATTCCCCCACCCCCAAAATTTTTGAATTTGTGTTATCCAAAAATCGACCACCGCAGCCACCCTGACCACCCACAAAACCCCTAAACCCCCCACGAAATTGCCTCCCCATTGACTACCTAAAAGAAAGTCAAATCCAGAAAAACCCAAAGTGAAACCCAAACCCAGAAAACCCAAATCGAAATTAAGAGGGTTGCGGTAGTAAACTAACCCTAGTTTACAAGAACTAACCCTAAATTCGAAAATCAAATCAACGACAAACCCTAGATTGCGAAAACTGAAATCGATAATCTAAAAAGGACAAAAACAAATTTTTACATCGAAGCTGCTTCAATGGAGGTGAGAAAGCTCGAATCCGCTTCAATGGAGAATTAACAGTACGCATAGTGGAGGAGTGATATTGACAAAGCTCAGAATGCGCTTCAATGGAGAACTACGAGCACGCGTAATGGAAGAGAGATATGGAGAAAGGTGGAACTTCAGAGGTGGTCGAAGCTAAGAGAAGGGCGAAAACGAGAGTTAGGGAAAACCGAAAATGAAAAATAGGGGGAAAGAAAAGAAGAAGAAGAAGAAATACGAGCGGATTTTTTTTTTAAATGGGCATTGAACCGAACTGGTGCCAAATCCCTTTCTCCCCTTGTTTTTTTTTTTAAAAATATTTCTTTTTTATTGAACCGATGCTAAAAAGATAATTTGCCATCGGTTTGGCTGGAATCGGTGCCAAAAGCTTGTTTTCCAATCCCGCCCGTTTTTTTAACCACCGGTTTTCAAAAACCGGTCCCAAGGGTGGGGTGCCTTTGTCATTTTTTCTACTAGTGAATGGATATGGTGCAAAATGCTAATGAGAAGATAAAAAAAAAAGAACGGAGGGAATATTAGGTATGTTAAAGGTTGTAATTAAAGTTTACGATTAATGAAAATGGAGCGAAAATAGACAAATTTAACCCTTCGAGACGTGAACAAAATCACTTTCCCAAAGTAATATTTTGACTCTAATATACACATTGGGTATCACGAAATTAATTAGAGATACAACGAAGACAATCTCAATAGTGTGCAGTATGTTTATGATCAAATGTAATTAAAACATGAGAAATTATGATGATGATAAATGGAAATTGTAAAAGGTATTCAAGAAGAAAAGTTAAAACTGATTTCTTCAATCTTCTTTCATCATATGTTAAAAAACATATTTACAAGACGCAATAAAACACTAAACGCCACGAAGAAAACTACCACCATCCAACCAGATAAAGACCCGCGCCGCAGGCCCTTGCCCTGCCGGGTGAGAGAAAGCAAGCAACCAAGATAGCTTTGAGTGCTCTCGCGCCCTGCCAGGCAGTCCCTCGCCCTACCGGGCGACGGTGGCCCTGCCGGGCGATTTTCTAGAGATAATTTTTTCGTTCTCGCACCCTATCGGATGGAGGCCCGCCCTGATTAAGCGGTGGTTTCCCTTGCCGGGCGCGCCACTGAGGCGGCCTATCGGGCGGAGGACCACTTCTCTAAACCGATAATATAGTTGCTTCTAATTCTTGTTTATGTTAATAGCAGCACCTTAACCTAAGCTAATTAACCAAACAACATGAATTTTGTCTACAATCAATAACATAATACTAAAAGCGAATATGACATGACACTTGTCATGTTCTGATTAAAAAATTTCCCGCCACTTTCACTTTACTTTTTTTTTTTTTTCAAATCTTCATGCATATTAATTTATATATCCAATAATATCTAACTTTCAATTTGGCAACTATATTCTAAGTATGTTCTATATGCATTTAATGAAAATATTTTAACATATCTTTCACATATTTTATAATAGGTATTTTCTATCATAAACAACAAATACTACGTATATAAGGTAATATTATTAGAATAATGTACTACTCTCGTACTCCGTATCATTCTACATCGTATTTTTTCCTTTGAAAGTTTGCTCCAACCAAGATTAACACTTTAACTTTTAGTACTACTATATATTTGTTGATTTATTTATAATAATAACACTACAATTCAATAACTATAACATTAAAATAATAATAAAAATAACCTTGATTATTAATTGTCACAAAAAATAAGTCACTTGAAATTGTATAAAACACTTGTGCCGGTCAAAGTATTCTATTAAATATTGTGTCGGTCAAAACATGCCAACAAAATAGGGACATATGGAGTATATAAGTACATTACACGGTTCCTTAAAAAAAATAGAAAAAAAAAAAGTGCATTGCACTAGTTATAAATAACATACAATTTCATTCTTAATAAAATCCTATAATCATGAAATTTGTATTGTTTTTAAAATGTTTAATGATCAATACGAGTAACTTTTGATATCAATATAACATAAAATTTAAGTTAGTTTTTTTTTGAAAAGAAATTCAAGTATTTGTTTTAATTAAAAATATTGATTTTCTTAAAAAAATATTGTTAAATTAACATAGTAATTCATAGTTAGGTTAAGTATAAACCGTGCGCTGCACAAGACTTAAATTAGTACTCTATATTATTCAACAAATAGCAGAAAAGAGAGAAAATATAGTAATTAAAGGGTAGAATAGTCATTTTTGGTAAGAAATAATTGGGAAAAAAGGGAAAAATGTTGTCACAAATGGAAATTTGTAACATTTTTGTTAAAAGGTCACACCCAAACTTAATTTTAAACAATGATTGTTGTTCAATAAAACTTATAAGGCACAAAAATGACAAATTAAAAGCAAAGGTAGTGATTCACAAAATTTCCAAATTAATAATCTTAGTTGATTTCAAAAATTTTATTATCCTAATTTACTATAGTTGTTCTTTTTTTTTTTTTAATATATATATATTTGAAGTTGTTTCTGCCTGAGAAATCCAATGAGGGAATGCGGGGGAGCCTGCTCGTCCGGCAAATCAAATCTTAGAAAATGAACGGAGTATACTGCCTCAAGGGTGAATATGGGAAACCCTAATCAATACGGCCAGTGAAGTGAAAGCAAAATTGTATTTTTATGCAATCACATAAAACATGATCATTCAAAGGTGAAGAAACCATTACGTACCAAGCAAAGTGTAACTATCATGAAGTGAAAAAAAAAGTGGATGAAAATGAACTATCATGGAGTATAGAAAAGCAAAGATTATTTAACTAACCAACTAAATATAGTAAGGGAGTGTTTGGTTTTTCTTGAAAATATTGTTTAAAGAAAAATCAATTTTGAAGTCTAAATAGAAATCTTCATCTCACAACGTGTCATTAAAATGTTGTGTAAGATAAAAAATTGTTCCTTGTTTAGCGGGATAAGAAAGAATGGCCAAGACTTGGGAAAACGAGTATTGTGCGGACCAACCATTCCGTATAGGGACGTAGTTTCGTGCCGCAAACAGAGACAATAACACTGCTCATTCACAAATGAATTATTGAATGTGATCGAGTTTACGTGTTATAATTAAGATTATTATTTGCAAAATGTTTAGCAAATTTGTGGGAGAGAAACATGTGGCAGAAATTTATGCATGCTAAGATGTTTGTTGTTACTATACAACACATGACTTACATGAGTAAGGAGTAGTAAGTTTGCTCTTAAACATCTATTTCTTCGATCCCCCCGGGCCCCCGGAGGTGTCAAAAAATTGATCAACTCTCTTACTATATTCAAATTTAAATTAAAATTAAAAATTTGACTTATATGAACACAATCATTTAAAATGACTTATGTTTAAAATAAATCTGACAAGACTCGATCTTACAAAAACCCAATTTAAATACCCGAATTGACACATCTCACTAGAATACTCTATCCGATCATATAATTTATAATCTACTTAATATGAGTTTGATCACTTTTTCTATGAAAAATTGATGTAATTTATCCCAACTATAAACGTTCGTCTTTAAAGAGGTCAAACCATCGATTAACTCACAACAATAGTCCCAACTACTCCATTTGAGAATTTCTCTCTACAACCCTTTAGGAGTTGTTTGGTTCACTAAGTTGGAATGGATTGGTATTGATTTTCATACTTGAGTGGTATGGATTCTATATCCCATACCAATCTAAATTTGTTTGTTTCAATCATAGAATGAATTCTCATACTTGAGTGGTAGTTTATGAATCCATGGGGGAGGAGGAGATGTCGGTATGAGATTTCAAGGAAATGGGTGCAGTTAGAATCCCCAGGTATGAGATTCCATACTTAAATAGCCCAACCAAACAAATAAAACTATGGAATAGATTTTAAATCCATTCCAACTCATTTCAAGAACTTCAACCAAATAGCCCCTTAACTAATCATAATCGATTTGACCGGTTAATGGCAACATGTGTCACATTGCATGTTCAATGACAATGTTTTATCTTTTATTTTTTTTGGAAAAAACCTCCTCCAAATCCTTTTTTCACCTAGGTGGTTGGAGATTGTGCTGAGGTGGTAAAAAAGGGGTCGGGCTAGATGGAATGAGTAGGGGTTAGTTAAATATTTATGAGGAAGTAGTAATGAAGTTTCGTTATGCATGAAGAAATGCATAACGAACAGATTGGGGGATGGACAAAACGGGGTAGGGTCCTTGGTATAGTAAAAAGTGAACATTGTATACAAAAACAAAAAAAAAAAAAAAAAAAAAAAAAAAACAGTATATGGTACATAGTATAATACATGAGTATACTACAAGATAACTTTACAACCTTTTTTTTTAACCCTTGTTTTAATTTTGACCTTTTTTTATTTTTTTATTTTTTTATTTCTCTGCTTTTACTTTAGCACCCATTTTTTTTTTACTTTTGACCATTTTTGTGAATGTGAGTTCACCATTGAAAATAGCGAGATGGGGGCTGCCTCACTGGAGTAAGTCTTTGAAATAGCCAGGAAGATGTTGGTGGTTGACGATTGGATGTTAACAAACGGAATCCAAAATTGTGATGAACTCATAGAAGGTGAATCTGGTGGTGCTGAACTTGGGGATGGCAACAACAATGCCACCATTGAAGACGCATGAGAGCTTGAAAGAGGTCGGGAAGAACAAGATGATGAACAGGCGTGCTCTAGCCCTACAAACTTTGTTAAAAGAGGTAATTGGTACTGAATTTTAATATCTAGGTTTTTAGGAAAATGAATTTGGGGAACTTAGTGTGGGGAAATTAATTTGGGAAATTAGTTGATGGTTGTATATATTGTCTATTCGTTGGTGGTTTGAATATGTAGAGAGAGTAGAAGGTAGGAGATGGACACTTTTGCTAAAAATTGGAGCAGGTGTTGTTTATATAGTATTTAGGTGGTGGGTCTTATGTATGTTGTGTACATTTGTCTTGCTTTTCACTGTATGTAATTGATTCTTTGTGTTGTTTGTGCCATTGGTCCTGTATAATAGTGTAAGAAATTAACCTGTGGTTACTAATGCTTGTATCACTTTTAAATGGAAAAGTCATTGATAAAGGTGTGGTCTAGATCTGTTTAATGTATTCAAAGTTTAGTTTTTGAATAGTGTGTCAATTATAGGAATATTTTTTGCAGGTCAGTGTATGTGGTAAGGCAGTGTGTGTGTGTGTGTTAGATGGTAGGGCAGTGTGTGTATGGTTTAGATGGTAGGGCAGAGTGTTGTGTTAGAAGGAAGGGAAGTGCAGGGTGTGTGTGTGTTAGATGGAAGGGCAGGGCAGGGCTTTGTGGGCAGTGCATTGTGGGCAGGGGCATTGCTAACTATATGAATTAACATTTTGCATGTCCTTATTGTGTTAGGCTTTTGTGTGGTATCTTTGTTTTAAAATGTCTCCCCACCAAACTCCTATTTCATGGTTTGTAGTGGGTGTAGTTTTCTATTGTTGAAAATATTTTTAAAATTGATTTAGTACTTGTTGAAGGTCAATGTTGGAGAAGAGTCTTACAAGACTCCCATAAAAGTAAAGAGTA